ATAGTGGTCTCCATCATCCATACAAGTACCCACCTCCCCATTTGCTCAGCTACCCACCTCTCTACCCATCCATCTATCCAAACTCATCCACTGATCGGTCTGTCTACTCCTCCGTGCATTTGCTCATCTACTCATCCACCTATCCATCCATCCATCCACTTATACATCTATCCACCCACCCATGCATCTCTCCACCCACCCATCCATCTCTACCCATCCATCCATCTCTCTGTCCATCCACCCATCCATCCATCCACCCACCCACCCACCCATCCATCTCTCCATCCATCCACCCATCCATCTCTCCATCCATCCACCTATCCATCCATCCATCCACTTATACATCTATCCACACACCCATCCATCTCTCCACCCATCCATCCATCTCTCTACCCATCCATCCATCTCTCCGTCCATCCACCCATCCATCTCTCCATCCATCCACCCATCCGTCCATCTCTCTGTCCATCCATCCATCCATCCATCCATCCATCTCCATCCATCCACCCATGCATCCACCCACCCATCCACCCATCCATCCCACCAGCACTTATTTAGCAGTTTGCTGGGTGCCAGGCCTTGCAACAGGCACTGGGAGACAATGACGGACCATACAGGCTGGGTCCTGTGCCATTCGTGTAGCTTACAGCCTGTCGAAGGCCAGCAGCAATGACCTGCAGAGAACCAGGTGGTTGCCATTGCAGAGTTGAACAGGAGGCGCTTGCTGCAGAGGTGGGAAGGCTCTGGCGGCAGTGGCACGTTAGCTGAGAGCTGGAGGGTGGGAAGGTGGTGGGGGAACACCCAGCAAGGTGGGACAGGACGAGTGAGGCCCCAGTCGGGAGAGGTGGCTTTGACCTTGAGGCCCTCGGCTGGAGTTTGGGCAGGTGGCGAGGGTGTTCGTGGCTGGGGTGCTGGGGGCTGGCAGGGCTGACGGGTGCTCCTCTCCTCACCAGCAAAGGCCACCTGAGCGCCATCCTGGCCATCAAGGGCAACCTATCAAGCAGCGACGCCAAGAGCATCCGGAACATCCTGGACCTTGACACGGGCACGCAGGCGCCCTCCAGGCCCCTGTTCTCACTGATAAAGGTTGGGTAGCTCTTCCTGCAGTCTGACCTGCTGTGAGCTCCCAGCGAGCAGACTCCCCACCCCACCTGGAGGCTGTGCAGCCTGGCGCTGGCTCCTGAACCTCTCATGGCCTATTGTGTTCCGCTGCTGCTTGTGCCCAACTCTGGAACAGGCCCTGTGCCACGGAGCCCGGCAGAGCCTGGTGTGTGTGTGTTGGTGGAACCAGAGCGCCTGCGATGGGCACCCAAGGAGCTGCCAGGAAACAAGAGCTGACCGTCGTTGGTGCACATAAGTGGAGCTGGGCTGCGGAGGGCACGGCCAGGGGCCAGGGACCCCGGGCCACCCCTGCCCTCTAACCTGGCTCCTGGGGGTCCTCCTAGGAGGGGCTTGGTGCTGGGCTCAGCAGCTCTGATTGCAGACAGGCATCAGGGAGACTGTCTCCTGGGGGCAGAGCAGCGGCAGACCCATGTGCAGAGCCTGGGTCCTGGCAGGCTGCCCCTGGGGCTCAGGCCTGGACCCTCCTGCCCATCCCTGGACTTCCCCAGAGGGTCCCGGGGGGCCCTGGCGTCCACCGTGCTGGCCCTGGCAGGTCTGCCCTGTCCCCGCATGGAGGCCTCCCTGCCTCTCCCGGTGCTCGCAGCCACCACGTCTCTTGCCCCTCAGCCCTTCCACGTCACATCTGCGCCCTCCTGCCCCTCCACTGGGGCGGTGGGAGCTCACCTAGAGATGCCTAGGTCTCCGGTTTCAATTCCATCCACAGCACCAAGTCCCCCTGCGTGTCACTTAACGGCCACAGCCCCAGGGATAAGGATGTGGACATCTTGGATCTTCTGCCACCCATCCCCTGCCCGCAGGACCTCATTCTACCCCAGGAAAACGACTCTTGCTGAAAGGGCCCAGGTCTGGGCTTGCCAGGCCTCCACCAGGCCTCTAGGGTGTGGAGTTGGGGTTCAGCGCCAGCTTTTGGGACTGCTCCCTTTTCCCAGGTACTGTTTTAGAAGCCTAGAGCCACGCCTGATAGGCCGGTACACACCTGTAACCCCAGCCACTGGCCACATAGTGAGACCTCAAGAGGACAAGAGCAGGGCTGCTGCTGGTGTCACAGAGTGGGATACACATGCTCAGGCCCTGGCTCTACCCCCAGTACCCCAAAACAGGAAACGTGGCTGGGAGCTGCTACGGCCAGCATGAGGGGCACACTGAGGGTTTTGTACGTTTGTAGGAGTTGCCTTGTATAATGTTATTAATATTATTATTTTGTATTGTACTGCTTTTATATGTAAGATCTGGGTTTTTATAGTGTGATATAAAGAGCTGTTTTCAAAAGTGGCAGTGGCTGAGGATATAACTCAGCCGGACAGCGCCTGCCTGATAAGCATGAGGTCATGAGTTTGATTCTCCATTAAAAAAAAAAAAGCCAGGTGTGGTAGCAGTTACGCCTGTAATCCCAGCACTCAGCAGGCTGAGGCAAGAGGATTGTTTCGAGTTCATCAGCCTGGGCTACAAAATGAGCTCAAGGCCAGCCTGAACTGCCTAGTGAGACCGGGTGGGTGTGGTGGTGCACACCTGTAATCCTAGCACTCAGGAGGCTGAGGCAGGAGAGTTGCTGCAGGTTCAAGGCCCGCCTAGGGTACATAGCAAGACCTTGTCTCAAAAAGCAAAAAATTGTGGGGGTTCATGACCCTTTGGGGTCTCCCTCAGACCTGTTCACTGCAGATTTGGGGTGGAGGGAGGGAAGGTAGTGGGTGGACTCCCAACCACCTGGACTCTGCACAGGCCCCAGCAGCCCCGGTGGGACTCGCGCATTTCCATAATTGACCTGGTGGTTGTGTGTGCACAGAGGGGCTGGGGGCGGTGCCGCTGGTGGCTCTGTGTCCCTCGGGGCAGAGCCGAGTCCCTGAGGGAAGGGTGCCTCGACCAAGCCCCAGCCCTGCAGCCAGGCAGAGCCCCTCCTCAACAGTAGGGGGCCGCAGCTGGGTCGCTCTCTGCAGGGCCCTCGGCACCAGGCTCTGGCTTCAGGGTCCAGGGCTGCTGGGACCCTCAGGCACTGGCTTCAGCCTCTCCCTGGCTCCTGATGGGACGCAGTGCCGTCTCTCCCAGGGGGCGAGTGCAGGAGCGCCCAGAACCAAGACCGGAGCAGGCTTCGAGTCAGGGGTGGACACTCAGTCACCTCCAGCTGGCAGCCGGTCCCCAGGGGCTGGACGGTCCCTGCCGCTCCCTCCAGGTCACCGGATTTGCCCCGAGAGGTGGGTGAGGAGCGCAGCACTGCAGGCCACACTCACTCGTGGAAGACAGCATCCCCCAGCGCGGGTGGGAGGAGGGGCGCAGTGGCCGGGCCGAGGGGCCACCGTACCTCGTACCTCGTGCACAGGACACGGGGGAGGAAGCGAGCGAGCCTCTGAAGTCCAAGTACAGGGTGAGGGGCACCCACAGAGATAAAGGGGCCCACGCTGGCTGTGGCCGAGAGCTCCCCAAGGTGGGGACAGTTGGCCAGGGGCCCAACCTTGAAGAGTTAGAGCAGACTGGGGATACAGCTCAGCGGCACAAGCACCAGCCTGGCAAGCGCAAGGTCCTGAGTTCGATTCCAGGTACCAAAAAAAAAAAAAGCTAGAGCTTCACTGAGGGGTGCAGGCTGGGCAGAGCCCCCCCGCCCCCCAACTAGGAGGTGGGGGAGGACCCAGGGGCGGGGCTCCGGGCAGAATCAGGTGGGCCAGGCCCCGGTTGTTTCCTCGGCAAAGGGCTGGGGTGAGGGCTGACAGATAGGGGTTCCTGGGCATGTGAGGGAGGCAGCCAGCAGGCCCCCAAAAGACCTCTGCCAAGCAGCGGTCAGTGGCTTCCAGAATGAGGGGCCCCAGAAGGAAGCGGGGACACTCAGGAATCCGGGCAGATGTGAGAGGGCGGCAGGTGCCACAGGGTCACCCCAGACCAGCAAGGCCCGAGTGAGCGACAATGCCCCGCATAAGGCTGGCGGCCCCCAGGGCGTCTCCCCGCAGTGGGGTTCCCCGCACAGGGCCCGGGAAGGGGACTTGGCCACACGGGTCAAGCTGACCGCAGCTCACACCCACAAGCCAGCCTTTCCTGCTGCAGTTCGTCTCACTGGGGTCCTAACTGTGCGAAACACAGCTGGGCCACTTCCGCTGCAAGAGCAGCACAGGGTCAGGAGAGCCAGACAGGTGGACAGCTCGGACAGACGGGGTCCTCCCTTCCCACCCGGGGAGAATGCAGAACAGACGCTGTGAAGGGGGAGACACCGCTGCGGACCTCACTAAAGGACTGTATAACAGGGTCCTCAACCACTCTGTGAATGCATGTGTATGTAAGAGGTTATTGATAAACTTCTAAGATAGGCATTTATCTCACTTTTTTCTTTCTTTGCATGTGTCATATAAAGTGTGTTGCTTGGATAATGCGATTCCAAAATAAATCTCATCCAAGCAAATTAATGGGTTCAGCCCCTCTGAATGTTGTAATTGTTGTACTTACTGAAAGATTTTAAATAATAAATTTATTATGTAAATTTTTTAAAAGGGGGAGACACTCTGCCTTCAAATAAGGAAAACAGACAGCAACACACACCCTCACACACACACATACACACATACATAGTACCTGTGTGTGCACCAAGGCAGCCTGCAGGAATACACCAGGAGTGGTGACAGTGGTTGCTTGTATGGGTGGTGTGGGTGTACACACGTGTGTGCGTGTGCGCCAGAGGGAGAGAGACAGGGTTTGTATGGAGACAGTATGGGAAGGAGGTATTTCTCCACACTCCCCATAACTGTTGTTACTCAGCCATGCGCACGTGTGTGACTAACTTTTCGTCGTTTTTTGGATTTTTGACACTACACTCTGTAGAACTCACTATGGAGCTCAGACTAGCCTTGACCGAGAGGTGACCTTCCTGCCTCAGCCTCCCAAACACTGGGAATACAGGCTACAACACCGCACCAGGCTTATAATTACCACTTTACAGCTGACTCTTCACCGGGAGATGGAGGCTGGTGTTGCTGGAGGAGGAGGAGGAGAGGCAGCGTGGTGTCCCGGCTCTGGGAGTGCGGCTGCCGTGAGCGCTCGCCTGGGGCGGACTCTGGGGCCGCACGCGTGCTCAGCAGCACTCAGCGCTGCTCTGTGTCCCCAGCCTGTGGTTTGTGTGGCCACACTGTGGGCCACACAGCTGGGTCAGGAGTCACTTTATCACGAGCCTGGTCATCGCCAGGGGACAGCCACGTGCGGGCTGAGGGTGAGGGTGGGGAGCAGCCCACACAGAGGATGGGGTCCCAGGACGAGGGAGGACGGGGTGGGGGCTCGGGTCATAGAGGGTGTGGAGGTGCTGTAGGTCCTGGGGACACAGCTGAGGGGCACCTGGGAGGGCCCCAAGCCTCATCAGGGGCCACAAGCTCAGGCAGCTTGGACAGAGCTGGCCTCGGGTGCTGATGGACAGTGGCCTGGGGAGGGGCGGGGCAGTAAGAGGAAGCTGAGGTCCTCCGAGGTCCTACCAGTGGGGGAGGCAGTGACCTTAAAAGGCTTAAGCCTCAGCCAGGCGTGGTGGTGTGCACCTGTAATGCTAGCACTGAGAGGCTGAGGCAGGAGGATCACAACTTTGAGCCTAGCTCGGACAACTTAGCAATTTAATACGAGGCCCTGTCTCAAAATAAAAAATGTTTTAAAAGGGTTGGGGCTGGGGATATAGCTCAGTGGCATAAGCGCCTGCCTGGCAAGTGCAAGGTCCTGAGTTGGATTCCCGGTACCAAAAAAAAAAAAAAAAGGGTTGGGGATCGAGCTCAGTGCAAAGGTCCTGGGTTCAATCCCCAGTACCACACAACAAAAACATAAACCTGGAACCTCAGCTATGTGCGCCTCGGAATGCACAAGGCCACCTAAGGGAGCCCTAGGGGAGCAGCCAGGGGGTGTGTGAGGGACCAGCCAGCAATGCAGGTGAAAGGGGAACCTTCTTCCAACAGCCTTCCAGGGGTTCAAGCGGTGTGACTGAGGAAGCGCTCACAGAAGATCCTAATCGGGTTGCCGGCCCTTGGAAGATGACAAATACCACTACAGACAATGGCTTGCGCAACCTGTCCCGGTGCCCCAGCCAGGCCAGCCACGCTTTCGCGGTTCTCAAACGTGCGCGTAGGCAGCGATGACATTCACTCCCAGCTTAGGGTCACGGAGCTGCGAAAGATGAGCTCTGCCCCCAAGATTGCTCTGATGCTGCAACTAATTCCGACTGCCGTCCTGCGGAGTGTGAGCTTGCGGAGACCCAGGGCCTGCAACCATCAGGAAGAAGAAACAAGGAAAAATGTGGTAGGGTAGCTGGGTGTGGTGGCATACGCTTGTGATCCCGGCACTTGGGAGGCTGAGGCAGGAGGACCACCTTGAGTTTGAGGCCAGCCTGGGCTATGTAGGTAGACGCTGTCTCAAAAAAAAACATGGGAAGGAAGAGGATTTCTGCTCTTCCCTGCAGGGCCAGCTAGCCTATCCTTGGCAAGGTCCCGCGGGGTTGAACCCCAGGCCTCGTGTCTGCGGGGGCAAGCGCTACAGCCCCAGCCTCTGGGTTAATAACCTGAACCATTAACTGCCAGAGGGAGATCGCCAGGGTGGAAGCAGAGACTCTAGTCTGCTTTGCCACAGGGCTTCATTTACTCTTCTTTTCAGTGCCTGGATTAACTCCCCATCGTTTACATACTCCTCATTTTAGCTACTTGGTTTTGATTGTCCTAAATGTGCCTGGGAGGGTCTTGGTGACATGAATCCCAGTAACCTCTATAAGTCCTAGAAGATTCCCCCGCAGAGCCAAGAATTGCATAATCTCACTAGCAGTACGCAGAGGCAGGGCGGTCTCTGCTAAGCTCAGAGGCTGGGGCTAAGGCAAGAGGACAGTGCCAGGTGTAGGACTTGGGCTCCTGTTCCTTACCCATATGTCCATGCCTTTGTCCTCTCAGGAGGCAGGGCCAGGAAGTTCCGCCTCGTGAGCTTCTCCCTGAACCTGGAGGCCAGGAGGGCCGCCTCCACCAAGCGAATGGCACAACTCCCCGTGAAGCCAAGCCAGGTTAGCGGTCTGACTTCCCCTGCTGTCCTCCCTGCTCCTCCTCAGCACTCACCAAGCACCAGCAGGGCTCGCTGTGCAAATGGCTTCCGGAGTTTCTGGATTTGGGTGGTGTGTGTGTGTGGCGGGGGGTATTCAAATCCAAACTTCAGCAGGCAGGCAGAAAGCTTAGCTCAAGTTTCGGTGAAGACAGAAGCTGCTGTCCAGGCACGCAAATCCTGGCTGCCACTGTAGCCCAGTGGTCACAGAGAGAGCCACGTTCTCCTTCACCTTTAAAATGAGAAGAAGCCAGGAGTGGTGGCACAGGCCTGTAATCCCAGCACTCGGGAGGGTGAGGCAGGAGGATCGCTGTGAGTTTGAGACCAGCCTGGGCTATAAAGTGAGCTCAAGCCCAGCCTGAACTGCATAGCGAGACCCTGTCTCAAAAAGATACACACACACACACACACACACACACACACACACACACAAAACACAAGGAGAAGGTTGCATTTATCTTGGTTTTAAGGTTTTAATTCTGTGATCTGTGGATTTAAATGCACTGAGACCTCGATATCACCGCCTTCATGACAAGCACGTCCGCTGGCTGTGTCCTAGACATCTGCAGCATTGTTCACAACGTGTGCAGCCCAGGCCTCCCCTGGGCGAGACAAAGCCCATATTAGTGAGTGACAAATGTTCATTTTGAACCCTTCTTTCTTTCTTTTCTCTTTTTGTCTTTTTTGAGACAAGGTCTCACTGTGCAGTTCCCAAGTATTTGGGATTATAGGCACGTGGACACCATACCTGGTTATGGTTGGATTCTTGCTGTTGAACAATTTTCAGGTTGGAAGGGTATCTCAGTGGTGTAGCACTTGCTTAGTGTGAGTAATGCCCTGGTTTTGAACTCCAGCATGGCAAAAATATTTTTTAGTTTAATGAGATTTGCACAGCTGATTAAACAGAAATGCTAAGAGGGGTTGAAGGGGTTGCAGGAAGAGTAAGAGAATGGGAAAAAAGTAAAAAGAAACACTAAAAAACCTCAATTTGTGTAATCTCTGCATCACATAGTATCTAGAATTAAATATATTCATATAGTAAAAGCATACAGTAGCTACTATAGAGAGAACCCATAGGCACAGTCTTTCTTTCCTTCCTTCCTTCTTTTCCTTCCTTCCTTCTTTCTTCTTTTTTTTTTTTTTTTTTTTTTTGAGACAGAGTCTTGCTATGCAGTTAAGGCTGGTCTTGAGCTTACCTCGTAGCCCAGGTTGGTCTCAAACTTGCGACGATCTTCCTGCCTCAGCCTCCCAAGTGCTGGGATTACAGGAGTGCGCCACCACGCCTAACTTCTTTCTTTCTTTGAGACAGGGTTTTACTGAGTAGTTCAGGCTGGCTTTGAACTCACTGCATAGTCCAGGCTGGCTTTGAACTCCTGGCAATCCTGCTCCCTCAGCCTCCCAAGTACTGGAATTATAGGCATTCACTACCACACCTGGTGATGTTCAAACTTTCTAAGCATTGTTTTAAGAATGTCTTCAAAATGCTACAAACCCAAAGTGATGATAAAGAGACACTAATTATCCCGATTTTATCAGTGCATATTATATACATGTATTGAGATCTCACACATACTTCATAAATATATACAATCATCACATGTAAACCAAAAATTTAACTAAAAATGTTTAAGGGCATGGAAGTGTTCACTACCCTGATTCGGTCATTTGTATGCTGTATGCATGTATTGAATTATTATACTGAATGCCATAAATGTGTGTATTTAAAGTAATAGCCAGCCGGGCATTGTGGTGCACACCTGTAATCCCAGCACTCAGGAGGATGAGACAGGAAGGTCATTTCAAGTTTGAGACCAGCCTGGGCTACAAAGTGAGCTCAATGCCAGCCTGAACTGCACAGAGAGACCCTGTCTCAAAAAGACAAAAAAAGGAGACAAAAACAAACAAACAAATAAATAAATACATATTTTTAAATGAATTTTTTTGGAGACATGGTCTCACTATGTAACCCAGACTGCCCTTGAACTCATGGTGCTTTTCCTGCCTCAGCCTCCCAAGTGCTGGGATTATAGGCTGTGACACAATGCCAAGCTAAACAAAATTAATTTCTGGCTAATTTCTCTCTCAGAATAATCCGGCCTTTGGTACAGCTAAAAAATAGAGAGAAAGCGGGGCTGGGGATTTAGCTCAGCGGCACAGTGCCTGCCTGGCAAGCTCAAAGTCGTGAGTTCGATTCCTGGTACCAGAAGAAAAACAAACAAACAAAAAACAAACAAACAAAAAAATAGAGAGAAAGCAAGCAAGGGAGGGAGGAATCCCCTCACTGTCTCGCCTGTGCCCTCTGCTGGAGATTTTCCACGCACCCCCTGGCAAGGCGCAAGGTCAGAACCCAGGGAAGCCAGGTGCCGGCTGAAGTAGCAGGTTGGTGACGCATCTGCCCTCAGATCACCCTCCCACACACCCTCACCTTCTGTGAAGATTTCCACCGCGCCAATGCATCCTTCCTTCCTGCAGCTAAAGCCAGTTTCACCCTTCCTTCCAAGCGGGGAGGCGCAGTCCCCACACATGTCGCGTCTGTCCTAGTCTGAGCTGATCACTCCTCAGGTGAGGCAGGACTGGAAGTATTTTGTGACTGAAAGACTGAATTGTAATGTGAACCGCAAGTTGTGCAATAGTTATGATTTGTACAATAATGTAAGTGTACACAGTCAGAAGGCCAAAGAGAGAAGAGCAGGAAATGATCGGCATACGTTAAAAAAAATACATAAACCAAGTATGTGGCACACACCTGTAATCCCAGCACTCAGGAGGAGGCTGAGACGGGAGGATCACTGAGAGTTCAAGCCCAGCCTACATTATGTAACAAGACCCTGTCTCAACAACAACAAAAAAAAAAAACGGCCGGGGATATAGCTCAGTGGCACAAGCACCTGCCTGGCAAGCACAAGGTCCTGAGTTCAATTCCTGGTACCCCCCCCCAAAAAAAAGTAGTCAGGCATGGTGGCACACGCCTGTAATTCCAGCACTCAGGAAGCTGAGGCAGGAAGATCGTTGCGAGTTCGAGGTCAGCGTAGGCTACAAAGTGAGCTCAAGGCCAGCCTGAACTGCATAGCAAGACCCTGTCTCAAAAAGACAAAGGAAAAAAACATAAAACCAGCAAATAAAACCAAACCAGGCATATGCAGTCCTTGTTCTCTAACAGTTAGGAGCGCAGCCCAGTCCCCAAGTCTCCCTCCGTTACTCATGCTTCCTTTCCCGCTGGTGTGTGGATCGCCCCATCCTAGGACCTCAGCGGTTTGCAGACTTTGCTGGATGAAACGAGGCAAATCCCCCTCCTGCAGGTCCGAGTCGGCCGTCCCCGGCGTCCTGCCGGCCGTGGAAGTCCTGAGGGCTGCGAGACCCTCTCCAGCTGACTGAGCAGCAGCGCATGATCTCCCTCAGCATCGCCTGCTGGCTGGCTCACCGAAGGTTACTGAAGGAGCAGGGGCAAAGAATTTAAGTGAAGCAAAACGGAGCTTTACTTGGGAACAGCGCTGCAGCAGCGATGGCAAGGTGCCGCGGTGGGGTCCCTGTGCCCGGTAAACTACGGCTGTCTTCAGAAAAACTGAGGCAAAGGAAGGCAGTTAAAGGCAAAAATAAAAGCCTTCACTGCAGTAACTGGTAATGACAGTTGCATCAGTCTGAGAGAACAGTTTGCGCAGACGTTCTTATAGAGGGGTATCCTGTCTGACAGTCTCAGCCCATGGTATCATGGTTGTCATGGTGTCCTGGTTGTCATGGTGTCACAGTGGTCATGGTGTCCTGGTATCCTGGTTGTCATGTGTCATGGTGTCCTG